GCATTAAAAATATTAGCATATTGATATTGTAGTTTAAATATAGAAGAGAAAGCACTACATTCACAATATCAATGAATTCATGATAATGCAACTTCTTAAAAATGTAGTAACGGAAATGTATAATAATCTGCATTTATCTTTTTGCCTACTTTGACATATATATATATATATATAATCTCTAGATATATTATCTCTGCATGTTAATTTCATCAGTGCCTCTGATTATTATAATTAATAAAGTGATTTTCAAGAAAAATTGAAACTTAATGAAAAGAAAATGGATTGTTGCAATGGGTTTCCAGCATCACAAATATATGAACAGTAGAAAGGCAAAATAAATAATCATGGGGAGGAACGATTATTATTTCTTACCCTAGGAAAAAAAAAATTTCATAAAAAATCATGAAGAAGACAGTGAATACCTACAATTTTTTTTTTAAAAAAAAATTGTGTAAATTCTATAAAAACTAAAGATTAGAACTACAACAATAAAGAAAACATAAATTAATTCTACAAACCATAGCTGTTTTTTTTTTTCGAATATCGTTTAGAGTAAAAAGTTCAAATTTTTTTTTTTGTTCTCGTTCTTATAATGGGGGAGTTGAATACGTACATCACCATTTGAATTTTCATCTTCACTCAAATTTGTGAGGAATTTTTTTTTCCAACATAGCAAAGAGGGAAAGTATGATGGAAAATAAAAAGAAGAAAGACAGAGAGACGAAAAAAAAAACTATGAAATCCTACACGAGAATTATGTCTAATGGTCTTTTAAAAGAACATGGGAAAGTAACGGGCTTAGCAAGAAATAGTATAAAACGTATGATTGTTACGGGGGAGATGATTGATCATTTATTATCACCAAGAAATAATGAGTATATAGAATTCATAAAGGAAGAGTAATGACAGTGAAAAAGTTTTAGGTTCCAACCTACAATTTAACTTCTACTTGTTACTTTTGCCATCGTAAATATTAAAAAAAAAGAAAAAAAGAAAGAGATGAAAATAAAAGAAATTAAAATTTGGAATTCCCTAAATAATGGCATTGAAAACTTTTTAGGTTACAACTCCTATTTGTTATTAATTTTTCCTTCAATGTAAAAACAAAAAAAGAAAAAGAAAAAAAATATATAAATAAGTGAAAATAAAAGAAATTACATGTGAGAAACACAAATACACACATGTGAAAGATTACCAAAATGATATTCATATTCCCTAATTATTCCTTCCGTCCCATTAAAATAGTCCAGTTTTAATAAAAAAATTTGTCCCCAAAAAAATGTTCTAATTTCACAAAAGCCAAAATTAATTGAATTTAAATGATTTAAATATCCAAAAGAGTAGTGGTAAGAAAAACAATGTCCACTTCCTTTAATTTTCATTTTTTTTTGTTTTTTCCCATTTTTTCAAATAATTATATATTTTATACGAATAATTAAAAATTGTGTTATATATCAAATTAATCTACGTAACGAGATCTTTCCAATCAAGATCCATTGTCAATATTTTTTGAGATAAAAATTTTGATCAAATTTAACTTGTAAAATAAATGCATATGTAGATAACTTTTATAGAAATAACTAGAAGGGGCATTAGTGGAAGTTAGAGACATAAAATAAGTTGTACATTTGGTGTGTCGACCAAATTAAAAAAGTTGTACATTTTCAAATTGGACTATTTTTTTGGGACGGAGAGAGTATAATATATGTTGATGAGTATGATAATAAATTTTCAAAATAGGTTAAATTATATAGTATATCTCACGAACTTAAAATCAAACTCCTAAACTCTCAGGAATTGGTTTCCTCGATTTGATGAGTAAATAATTTGTGTTACTCACAACTCTGAACTCTTGTAAGTGTAAGCTCAAACCACTTAAACAGTGTCGAGTGTTGAGGTGGTGACCCACATGGACTTTCACAGCAACATAGTTTTGGTGTCAGAATAGTTCTTCTAAAATGTCAAGGGTTTTGCGTACCGCATGATCAGTTTTTAATCACGTTCCCACGGCCGTGGATTGGATTAGCGTGCTGGACCCCACGTGCTTTTTTGTTTTTCCTTTTAATTTTTCCAGGGTAAATTTTTTTTTCTTCTGGTTCTAATCATGCTTCATCACCAAGCCTGTTGATTAATTAAGGAACACCACCCAGACAATAAAGGTCATTACGTGTAATTACCACCATTATTTATGTCTCTTCTTTACAGAGTTACTACTATTTGAGATTTAACGCAGAGTCTCATGTTCTTAGTTCAATTTTTCACTCCTCGAAGAATAAATAATAAATAATAAAGTGCACGTGGGATTTGGGGAAATAATACATTTATATATATATATATATATATATGCAATTTTTGCAAAATCATATCACTACAATAGGTTTTAGTAAAGTAATTTGACTGAATACATGTGTAGACGGTAAAATGAGTATATTGATTTTTTTTCCCCTATTTATTTCTTACTAATTTTTCCAATACCTTTTTTTTACATTTGACAGTTACAAACTTACAACGTAAGCTCAAATCTTGACTTATTTATAAAAGTTAACATACTTTAACTCGAGGCAAAAAAAAAAAAAACAAATATTTAACATTTTGTCATATTTTTCACGTTTGACATGCTTCGTTCTTGTTCATTGATTCGTCATCAAACACTCTTAAAAACACCGTTTTAGCATATTAGGATTTGCAATTATTGAAAATGTCGATTTTAGTAGTAATCAAAATCTCATTTTTGTTGAGAGCGGTAATACAATTAGCACGTAAAAAGTTAATATTGAGTGGCATTGTGTGGAAGCATGCTGAGTAATAGGAGAAACAGCCAATGACAAAAACACAAATGGAGAAATAGTGAGAGGTATTAATAAATGAACAGCATTGTGTGTGTGTGTGTGTGTGTGTGTTTTTTTTTTTTTTTTTTTTTTTTGCTCATTGTTTAGATTTGTAATAACCAAGTATGTTGAAAATATGAAAACAATGAATATAAACTTTTACAAAATGGTTTGTAAGCCGATAATAAAATGGCCAATCAAAACTGATAGCTTCACAATTAAAATGTTCTTAACTAGATTTTAAACAAAATATGAAAACCCTATATCTCAAAATGATGAATTAATGTAGATACTCATTTGCGATGAAGTTAAGAATATTATGTTTATATGGGGTTAAATGAAAGCTAAGTAATGTAGAACTTCTACAAATTAATTGCATTGAGACCACCGAAATTTATTAATTTAGCGAATTATTAAATAATAGATAAATTAATAAATTATTAATTTAAAGAATTTTTATGAGAAAAAAAGAACCATCACTAAATTTCTTAATTTAGAATTTCTTTACATCCAAATCAATCAAGTATTAAAATTCTTTTGAATACTAAAAATCCTTACATGCTTCATATCATCTTTGGACTAAAAAATAAGTATCAATAGTTCATATTCTACTAAGTATTTATAGTTATTATTATTATTTTTTGTTTTTAGTGTATTTATTAATTTATAGTATTCTTAGGACCTATAGATAAATAAGAGATTTTCTAAAATATTATTATCTTATCATTTTATCAACTTTTTTCCACTTTTTACAAAGGTCTCAAGTTAGAATTGAAAAAAATTATTAATTGCTAGAATTTATTAATTTATAGATTAAAATGTTGACTCACAAATGCCATAAATGGGCAGCTATAACTCTCAATTCCTTAAGATCAACAAGAGAAAATAAAGGTGAAGTTAAGCAACGACTAGAAAATGCGATAAACCAAAAAGTTATGCAAAAATTCTCCCTCTACAGCCTAAACCAACACATTCCAGAAAAACAAGGAATTGAACTGCAATTTCCCAATATAATAAATCAAGCAGTCTACGAATACTACGTAGAAAATGAGGTGAAATTTCCCGTAATAAACCAAAAAAATACTATATAAAGACCCAAAGGTGACTCCAAAATTCACCATTACCAACATAGAAAAAACGGAGAAAAGCGAAAGAAAAATTAACTTCAAAACCAAGACCAAGATTTTCACCATCTTGTTCCTCTCTAATTCAACCAACATTGATTGGTTTTTGAAAATAAAAATGATAAATAGTGACTTTATATCATAAAAACCAGTTTAGAATCTCTTGAAAAGAATAGATTAATCAAAGATAACGTATTGTGAATGGGGAGTTGGTTAAGTGGTAATACCACCCTTGCTCCAAGAGAAGGTCGTGAATTAAATCCTTCACTCTAACAAAAAGTAAGGAGTTGGCTCTCACCTTGCCCGTTGGCACATCTAGGGGCTTGTTATGACTAACCTACTAATAAACCCCTGATTTTGCACCGAGCTTGTTACTCCGGACATGCTTAGGGTGGTTTACCTCCCACTGTGATTTGCAGCGGGGGTGGGTTTACCCACCTCAAAAAAAAAAAAAATGATTAGGGTGGTTTACCTCCCACTGTAAATTGCAGTGGGCTTGGGTTTACCAACCTAAAAAAATAAAATAAAATGATTAGGGTAGTTTACCTCCCAGTGTAATTTGCATGTTATTGCAGAAAAAAATGATTAGGGTGGTTTACCTCCCAGTATAATTTGCATGCTATTATAGTGGGTGTCGGTTTACCCATCTCAAAAAAAAAAAAAATCGTATTCCTTTCTCCTAAAATGGTCGAATCTCATTAAGAATTTTTATCGAATAATTTCCCAAAATGTATCCGGTACCTTTATCATTATTATTGCTCGAATCTCATTAAGAATTTTTATCGAATAATTTCCCAAAATGTATCCGGTATCTTTATCATTATTATTGCTCTTTTTGTGAATTTTATTACGAATACAAGAAATTCAGTCAAAGTCGCCGCCTCATTGACCATAGAAAACGGCGTCGTCAAAGCCTGTTCCGTAGTATCCTGACATCCCAGCAGCAACAGTAAATAACTACAGTGTTTATGTATTTAATTATTAATTAATTATCAAAAGAAAAATATAAGGAAATCATAAAAATCCAAAAAATTCCACCCCCTATATATAGAACTGCCACTTGGTCCGCTCAGCTCATTCGTGAGGAGAGCAAATCCAAGAAATAAATGACTGCCAAAAAAAAAAGAGAAAATAAAAAAAAAACAACAAAATCCACTCCCTCTGAGATAGAGAGAAGAAGAAAAGAAAGAATAAAGAGGTCGAAGAATCCCCAAATTTGATTACCGCGGATCGATCTTTTCAAAGCAATCGAAGGAAAAATCGCCTTCCAATTTCTCCTTCGAAGATCAGATCAGATCTTCCCCGCACTCACTTAGAGTTGCATTTCTATACATTCTTTTTCTCCTCTTCCGAATTATTGGAATTTTTTGTTTGTCAATTGAGTGGATTGTGTAAATGTGGATTTCCATTTTGTAAATTTCACAATCTTTTTGGATTTAATTCGTCATTTATAGGGTTTTGTTGCGGGATTATATCATTGTTTGTTTAATTGGTTAGCTGGAAAGTTAGGGTTTTTATTGGGGGTTTTTTAATTGTACCGGAAATGTATCGGATCGTGAGCTAGGTTTTGAAAACGGTGGAGCTTTTTCAGTGTTGGTGCTAGTTACTGGAGGGGGGTTTTATGTGTGTATGAGGATTTGGTGCTTCTCTTGTTTCGGTGGAGGGGAAGATAATAAAGATTTTGACCAAAGGGAATATTTTCTTGGCGAGGAAATGAGCGAGGGGAATCTGGAAGGAGATAAACTTGTTCTGCCTGAGGGTTTTGGGGTGGATTTTGATCCATGGGTTGAGGACAGTGGTCCCGAGCTACAGGATGGTATGGAGGATGAGGCCTTGCCAATTAATGGAGATGGAAATGGAACTGGAAATGAAAGTGATGTTTTAATTGATGTTAAGGTTGGAAATTCAAGGTGTTTTGATCATTTGTTATCGAGTAGCAGTATTCAGACGAGGGAGTTGAATTTGCATTTGGGGCTTGGTGATGAAGCTTCGTCATCATCATCAGCATTCTTGTCTGTAGATAGGACAGATGATCGCGACTGTCACAATAAGCGCCCCAAAGTTCAATCTTTTACTTTGTAAGCTTTACTCCTTCTGTTTTTGATACTCCTCTTCTACTTTTATGTAAAAACGCTCTGCCTTTTCGCCCTGAATATCGTCATTTATTATGCTGAATTGGAATTTTGTATATTCTAGAGGAAGGTGTAGTAGTAGTACGATCTGTTCGCCTGTAGAAGTATCTTATTGTGTAGTTTTTCCCGTTGCTATTACTGATGTATTGGAATCTGCATACTTGTCTGCATGAATGAACATGTTTCTGGTTGAACTGGTATGCTAACGATTGAATGGGAGAAAGGTGTACCTTTGTCTACTGTGTTTGTGGTACATTGTGTGCTTCTTATTCATCTGCTTGCTTTTGTAGCTGCCTGGGATGCTGTGATTGTGACATTTTCGTCACATCAGAGTATGATTTGCATTACCAAATCTCCTTTTACGGATCCTGTGTGTGTTTGGTATAGTTGAAGTCTTATCTGTCCTCCTAGTTTAAGTGTTTGCCTTTTATTTGCCTTGAGATTTACTGAGATCAAGGTATATATGAATGCTCAAATAAGAGTAATGTACTTGGCTCTTTCCTTTATTCTGACATGCTTTGTTTGTGGAAGACTGATGTGCATGTTCCATCAGTATTTTCTCTTATTGGTTTTATGTCCATAAAAACTTTTAACTGGTTGTCAGGGAAAGATTTATAAGTATTGACAAAGATTAACGCTCGTTTCATTCAATGGTTGTGGAAATTTTCACAGGGACTGGGGTTCTCATTTTGAGAATGAGATTTGTTATACGCCCCCCGCATATGCATACAAGGATGGCAGCATTGATAATCTGCCTGAATCTGGCATCATAAGGAATGAGGAAGAAAAAGATAACTGTATCTCACCAGTTGAGGAGGACTTAGAAGTTAGAATGGATCTTACAGATGATTTACTGCACATGGTATATGTGTCTTCAAAATTGTCTTTTGCGCTGTAGATTAGTTACAAAGGCGAAAACTGTGTTGCCATTCTAATCATGGTTGATGCTTGTGAAATCCTTTCAGGTTTTCTCTTTCTTGGACCACATCGATCTTTGTCGAGCTTCAGGGGTCTGTAGGCAGTGGAGGGCTGCTAGTTCACATGAAGACTTTTGGCGATTCTTGAACTTTGAGGGCAGGCATATTACCCCTGTACAGTGTGAGTTTTTATATTGCTAATCATCTGTAGCCCACGTAATTATTCAAAGAGAAAAGGTATGAGTACAGATAAAAGATTAACTGGAGAACTTTATCACCGTATTTCATTGCTTGTTCTGCATGTAACACCTATTTCTTAGAGAATTAAGTCCTATCCATCATACTGTATGAAAATTGATTGGTCATGAGCTGAATGCATGAAGAAGTTAATAATTTTTAGGTCCTCTTAAAGGAGATGGGGAATAGATAAAGATGCACACATCTAGTTCAGGCAGTTGTGAGAATTTATTAATTTTTATGTTCTTCTCTCAAAGGAGATGGGGAATAGATAAAGATGCTACGCATCAAATTCAGGCAGGTTGTAACAAATTCAGAAGGCTCATTCTATTCTTTGTTGTTGTAAGGATAAATTTGAGAAGAAAAGTTAATTGAAGTGGCTTATGACTATCCACGCCTTACTGATCAGAATGTCCTGCGAAAATTTATGAAAATGAAGATAACAAAAATGAGAATGTTTAGATTGATATCTGGACTCTCTGGATTAGTAAGATAGATATAGTTAGTACTGCAGGAGTAAAAAATAAAAGATTGCCCCAATAGGTGAAATAATGAGAGAAACATCCTCAAAAGTGGTTTGGACATGTACACGCTTGAGATATAGGAATGAAGAAAAAAATTATTGGAAAGAACTAGAAAAGATGACCTGATCTATTTAAACTTGAACCTGACCATGCATTTCACAATGCACGTGTGACATATGACATTAGTTGTATACTCCACTTCCATTGTTAATATTGAGGATTGAGGAGTGCAGATATCACTGATGACATACAAAAAGTACTGCTGTTTGCTGTGGTATATGTAAACCTTAGATTTAGCTTTCGTTGCTGGTAGCCGCTCTGTGATTTTTTCTTGCAGTTCTTAGATTGCAGACAGTACTGAACTTAACATTTAAATGCATATGCAGTTGATGACATTTGTCGTCGATATCCAAATGCTACTGCCGTAAATGTCTATGGTGCCCCTTCTCTTCACTTGCTGGTGATGAAAGCAATTACATCTTTAAGGTAAACAACCTTTATGGGTTTATTGGTTACCTTCTGAGGGTAGCTACTACTTTGCTGCTGCTTATAAGTCTTCTTGTTGTCAGAAATCTTGAGGTTCTGACCCTGGGCAAAGGCCCAATTGGTGATATCTTCTTCTCTGCACTTCATGAGTGCCAAATGTTAAGAAGTTTGACGATCAATGATGCAACGCTTGGTAACGGCATTCAAGAGATTGCTATTTATCACGACCGACTTCGGGTGCTTCAGATTGTCAAATGCCGTGTTCTTCGTGCTTCCATAAGGTGATTTTGAAATCAAATGCTTGTAAGTAGAGTTTGATTGTCTTGGAAGCTGAACTGTTGTGGCTTGCAGGTGCCCCCAACTTGAATCGTTGTCGTTGAAGCGCAGTAGCATGCCTCATGTCGTGCTCAGCTGTCCCATTCTGCGCGACCTTGATATAGCATCTTGTCATAAGCTTTCAGACACTGCAATCCGTTCTGCAGCCATGTCTTGTCCACTTTTGGAATCCCTGGATATGTCTAATTGTTCCTGTGTCACAGATGAGACACTGCGGGAAATAGCTGGGTCTTGTGGGAATCTCCACATTCTTGATGCATCGTACTGCCCAAACATCTCTCTTGAGGTCAGTTTTCTATTATGCTGAATCCACATAGTGGGATAAAGGCTTCTTGTTGTTGCTTTGATGTAATACACCTGACATATTCTCTTCACTGTTTCTTACATGTTTCTTTTTTGATTTAAAGTCGGTAAGACTGCCAATGTTGACCGTTCTCAAGCTTCATAGTTGTGAGGGGATTACTTCAGCGTCAATGACTGCAATAGCATTCTCCTCTGTATTAGAGGTCTGAAATATCTTTGCCATCTGTGAAATGATTGTATTTTAATTGCCTTTCTTTTTTCTCCTTTTTTAGTATTTTATTGTACACTGAATACCTTATCTTGTAGGTTCTGGAGCTTGATAATTGTGGCTTGCTTACTTCAGTATCCCTTGAGCTCCATCGCTTAAAGAACATCAGACTTGTCCATTGTCGCAAGTATGAAATGATCCCATGAGCCTTTTTTAGCTTTGATTCCTGCGCTGAAATTAATTTTGTAATAATTTGCATGCAGATTTGTTGATCTGACTTTGCGAAGCAACTCGTTGACGGCTATTACAGTTTCCAACTGTCCATCTCTTCAAAGAATCAATATAACTTCAAGCTCCCTTAAAGTATGGGTTGCCGAATAATTCCTTCTTTCTTTTATGTACTTGGTACAATCCTTGAAATTTAACTTGGTGGTTGTTTCTATGCAGAAATTGGTTTTGCAAAAGCAAGAGAGTTTGACAACTTTAGCTTTGCAATGTCAGTGTTTGCAAGAAGTGGACCTTACTGAATGTGAATCCCTTACAAACTCAATCTGTGAAGTTTTCAGTGATGGTGGAGGCTGCCCTATGCTAAAAACTTTGGTTCTTGACAATTGTGAGGTTTGTTGTTGTATACTTGTGATTGTTTTGCCAGTTTTTTCATGAAATTTCCTAAAGCCTGCTGGGAGAGACTTAGTGCCATATGATTTGCCTTGAAAGTATGTAGTTGCTCTCAGTTGGTCAACCCTGATTAAGTTCTGATATAACTTCATTGATAATTGAAAGCTTGATTGATTTGGATGTTATGTATGTGTTGAATGGGTAGTATTAGTTAGTTAGTAGCATTTGCATCACGACTTCTTTATAATCCTTATGTTTTGCGCAGTTTTGTCTTTTGTTTTTTGTTTTAATTTTCTTTTTCCCACCTTTTTTGGGGAAGAGGAAGGTATGGGGCAACTGGATCTTAATGGACTTTATGAGAATGTTCCTTTGGAAATATTTGATTTCTAGTTTGTTTCTTGTATCATTTTTCTAGTGCTATCAAGTGCTTGCTTCTTTTGGACTTTAAAAAAATGAATATTTTTTCTTAGGGTATATGTTTAAGGTGAGATGGTCATTCAAGCCTATGGATGTCTTATAATCTTCTAACAGAAATTTTAGCACTTCCACTTGCACTTCCACTTCCACTTCCACGTTTCTGGCCAACTTGTCTCCCCCTCCCGGGATGCCAGCCAAACGAAAAGCTTATAATAATTATAATAATTGTTTGAGCGCTTGTCAATCACTGTCATTTACTATTGTTTCCTTCATTAACTATCTGATGATGGGGTCGCTAAAGTATGAAGAAAGAGAACGTAGAAATAAAAGAATGCCTATTTTTGACCTGGTTGTGAGTGCAGTGTTTTTCTGAAGTTTTCCTGGGCTGAATTGTGGATGTGTATGAAGTCTTCTTCATTTGTATACTAGGTTTGCTTGGTGTTGGGAGGTGCCGGTTCAGCCGTTGCACTTGTATTTGTGGGGGTAGAGATTTTGTCGGATTTCTGTGGCACGCGGTATTGAAATAAACATGTGAAAACATATACCGAAATCTAACGCGTCGGTGATAACAAAAATTAATGCACCCCTAAACAATTGAGTTGCAATGATGTAAAAGTTAAAAATAGATGCATACGAAATTTTCATAGAGATATCTTTGGTCACTTTGTATTGATGTTTCATGACTATGCTAGTTGTTTGCACATTCTAAATTTTATGCAGTGCCACTAGGCAGCAGCGGTGATTAATTTTATTAAATGTGCTTTCTTCTTTATAAAGTATCATAAGTTATCGGAGCTATTATTTTAACACAAAAGCAGGACCCAGTTATGTCATTTTTTGACTGCTTTGGACTATTCGTTTCCATATAATGATTGTATTGCAGATGTATATAAGTGGACCGTTTAATGATTCTGTTTTTTTTTTATTCAGAGCTTGACATCAGTGGGTTTCCACAGCTCTTCCTTAGTGAGTCTTTCACTCGCTGGTTGCCGTGCTGTAACTTCTCTTGACCTTCGATGTGCTTATCTCGAGCAAGTTTCATTAGATGGCTGTGATCATCTTGAACGAGCATCATTTTGCCCTGTGAGGAACTTCTCTGTCTCATTCTATCTTCTTTTGGTTGGTAGTTGTCACCAGTTTGTTTTTTATTTTTCTCATTAGTGAGACATGGATCCCTTTTTGTGAATCATTCTCTTCTTTTTGAGCACTGAAACATTGTGATCAATTTTCTACCTTTGGTCCTTTTTTTATCAGATTATCTTTTTTATTTTCATTTTCTTTCCCTATTTGTATCTCTTTATTTAAGAAAGTTCTGTCATTTACCTCGTTGTGGTTCACAGGATAGATTCTCAAACTAGTATCATCATTTTATTGGTTCTTACACCCATTACTGTTGCAGGTTGGTCTCAGGGCCCTGAATTTGGGAATTTGTCCTAAATTGAATGTCCTTTTTATTGAGGCTCCTCAAATGGCGTCCCTTGAATTGAAGGGTTGTGGTGTATTATCTGAAGCATCAATTAATTGTCCTCTCCTGACTTCTCTGGATGCTTCTTTTTGCGGGTCTGTCAAAAGTTCTTTTCCTTTACTCCCTTCCGCTGGCCTTAGATTGTATCTTTGCTTGTCATTTTACCATGCACCATTATTTGTGGCTATGCTCATCATGACTGATACATTTGCTGCATTGCTCTTTTTGCAGCCAACTGAAGGATGATTGTTTATCTGCCACAACTGCGTCTTGCCCTCTCATTGAGTCATTAGTACTGATGTCATGCCCATCTGTTGGCTCCGATGGTCTCTTTTCTCTGCGCTGGCTTCCAAATTTGACATATCTTGATTTGTCATACACTTTCTTGGTTAGCCTGCAACCTGTTTTCAAGTCGTGTTTGCATTTGAAGGTAACTCCAATCATTTGTGTTGGTTTTGTTAGTGCAACAGCAGTTCATGTCCTTTTTAGCTTCTTCATAATATATTAAAAATCTTGGAAAGGCTTGCGAGTATGGGTGACTTGGGAATGAGATGAGATTAAATATGAAATTATGTTTTATGCTGCTACCATTGGTGATTCTTGCCATTTCACCATTCTGTAATGTCAAGATTGAAGTATGATAGGTTATCCCCTCTCTTCTAGTTCATTGTTTTATGTTTCTTATATGTTTGTTGGTGTGTCTGTTTTGAACATTGAAATGGTTTGTGAACTGTGAAAAGTGGTGGATGGAGAAAGAATATTTAGTTGATTGATGAATTTAATCAAGCATTTAGCCTGCTCTTACTATGACCGGTCTTTTATTGCTGTTGGCATAATTGCATTTCTTTTTTTTCCCTCTAAGGGCTCTTATTAATTATAAAAGTTTAGCTGAAACTCTTGCACTATTATTAATCTTGAGACAACCTTTTCACAGTTTCACTTTGGTGGATTATGTGGTGGTACAATCGGATAGCAAGATACTTTTAAAATATTATTACCCACCCTCTCACATTTTACCTCTCTTTTGGCCTTTCTCATTGTAATGCATACTTTTGGGTTTGCATTACGGGGTTAGTTATGTATCCTAAATTTTGTGCTTATAGGTTTACAATTTGCATTTGCAGGTTTTGAAACTGCAAGCATGCAAATATCTCAGCGATTCTTCACTGGAACCCTTGTACAAAGATGGTGCTCTTCCAGCCTTGTGCGAGTTGGACCTGTCATATGGCACCTTGTGTCAGTCGGCTATTGAGGAATTGCTTGCCTGCTGCACGCAGTTAACTCATGTTAGCTTAAATGGATGTGTTAACATGCATGATCTGGATTGGGATTTGGTTGGCAATGAGATGATGCCTATTGCTCATGGGTTGTCCGATGCCAACAATAAGCAGCCACATCGTTTGCTGCAGTATCTCAACTGTGTTGGTTGCCCTAACATTCGGAGGGTTGTGATTCCATCTACAGCTCAGTGTCTTTATTTGTCATCATTAAACCTCTCTCTATCAGCCCATCTGAAGGAAGTTGATGTTGCTTCTTGCAATTTATGCTTTCTCAATTTGAGGTAACTACTTTATAATTTTGTTCGTCAGAGTTATTTTGTATCTGGTGTTGCTGCCGATAGTTAAAGTGGTGACCTTCTTTGCTCTATTCAGCAATTGCTGTTCTTTGGAAAGTTTGAAGCTGGAGTGTCCAAGATTGACTAGCCTTTTCCTTCAGGTACATTTTCTGCATCCTCGGAGAGAGACAAGAATTTATTTTCATAAAGTTTCTCTGGTAGTCAGCTTTAGCTATATAACCTTGACTTGTCCTTTTTTTTCCGAGTTTTGTCGTTTACTGAATTCATATGAGCACATTTGCAACTTGCAAACATCAGTAGGTAGATTCTATTTATCTTCTGCTGCATTCTTTTATGGAATTAGTTTTTGACTGTTGCTTTCACAGTCCTGCAACATCGATGAGGGAACCGTTGAAGCTGCCATTTCAACTTGTGTAATGCTGGAAACTCTTGATGTCCGTTTTTGCCCCAAGGTAAAGCTTCTAACAGTTTATTATCCTTGAGAGTAGAGAATATTATTGCGAGGTAAAAATATACATTTCTAACCGCCTAATTTTTTCTTACTCATTCCAGATAAGCCCAGTGAGCATGGTCCGGTTGCGTGCTGCATGTCCTAGCTTAAAACGCATTTTCAGCAGTGTTGTAGCATCATAATAAGAAAAAGATCTAGCGTGCCATTTCGGGTATGCCTGAGTGTATCCGCCATAAAAGTTTGATTTGATAGCATTCTTTGCGCTATGTATAGTCTTTGTATGTGTATTGATATTGTGATGCTGTACTGGATTTTTGTGACAGTTATTGTAATGCAAGTTGCAAGAGATGTAATTAGTTGCTCTGCAGTTTGAGTCTGCTTTTCATTTGTTAAGTTTCATCTTTTTCTCATCACTTATTCTGATTTCTGACCAAAAAAATGCCAATTGACAAGGGTAAGCTCCTTTTTTTTATTTTTTTCCTTAAAAAACAATAATAGGAAAAACCCACTTTATGTAACCTAAGAGTAAGGGGTGTCCAAATTCACTTTATGCACCCTAAGAACATGGGAAAAATCATGATATGGAGACCTCGTATATAAAGTGGATTTTTCTCTCTTTTTTTTTTATTTTTTTATTTTGTTTCCTGGAAACATTGGAATTTATATATTAACACGACTAGCTATTACATTTTTTTTTTTTTTTTGGTTAAAACTAGCTATTACATTTTTAATTACAAAAGAAGCTATTACATTTAAAAAAAAAGGCGAGCTACTACATACTTCAACAGTTCAACTAGACTAGAAATACTCATGCTAACCTATGAGCATTTTCTACAGTGTCTCTGTACTTTAATCTTCTGAATGTTGCTATGAGTACAGAAGGGGCAAACTTTTATGTTACATATCTATTTCTAGGTAAAGTAACATGGTCACATGTCTAAAATAGTGCAGTAGACCGGGCTTTCTGTCAACGGCAACCGCAACGTTACAAGATTCAGGCAAATCCGTTTGTTCGATATGTAAAATGCCTCTCTTTTTGCTTTTAATTTCAACATAAAGTATACTTTTACAGAATCGGATATCAGACTAAAAAATAAAATCAGAGTTATAACCCACAAGATTCAGGATTAGTGTACAGAGCTTTTCACCACATGGCTGTGTTCATTGCTATATCATAATATTGATTCGAGCTGCTTCAGTTCTGGGTCCGGTATATCATTCTCGGGCGGTGTATCATCTACGGGATCCCTGTAAGCATCAGCTATAGCTTTTCCCTTCTCCAACACATCAGAAGGTACTGTCTTGAGAAGACTGAAACATGGAAGGACTCTTTATAGTAAACCGTCTGTAACCTCATAAAACTATGGGTAGAAACAAACAAGACCAAAAAGCAAATAGCCCAAATAGTTTCCTTTAGCTTCCCCTCAAAATCAAAACATTTGAATTTGAACCATATCTGGATCTAATACAGAAATCCAATTTTGACAAAATAATCCGTTCGCCTTCATTGAAATGAAAAGTCAAGTTGGATGGTTTTGAAACATTTGGAAAATGATGGCTAAAAGCTGATTAGAACTTGAAGTTGAGGGAGTCGTGAAGCGATTTACTAAAATGACAACAAAGAAGCAGAATTCATTACTATATTTGCCGTTGACATAGTAGTTCTTACCATGGCCACATCAACCATCATGCAAAATTTGTAAATTTTCAGAATAAATTACTCGACAGAAAGAAAACCCTATTTACAATGTTGGATATCCTTCCATATAAATTGAGAGAACTTCACCTGTCCAAAGCATTAGTAGCCACATCAATCTTTGCCTTCATTGACTGAATAGAGGCCCCTGAGTCATTTCTTGAAGCATTCAGCAGCATCGAGTCGAGATCTTCCAAGGCTCTTCATTAAGCAAAACAAACAAAATGCTAATCAAACACCATTAAAAGAAGCAAGCGGTCGCATTCATGCCTTGATATATAGTAAAATTTCATCAGTGATATATAGCAGAACAGAAACATCATGATACCAACCTACGCCTCACTAAACAATATGAAAGCCAAATGTTCTATTTTCCCACAGTGAAAGACTAAAACATTTTGCATTTATTTCCACACATTAATAACTAAGAAGTACAGCTGACAAAAAGAGGGTTGACTGAACCGTCTTGAGTTTTGTTGAGGTTTTGCCTAGAAAATGTAAAATGTGTTTGAAATTGAGTCAAGATACAAAACAAAAGCCAAATTCACAGCCCAAACATGTTCAAAGCTTCCTTTAACTCATGCAAAATGGGAAATCTTAAGGGGGTGAAAAGGTCAGTTAATATAAAGCAACACCTCAAACATTCATCAACACTGTTGAACGCGGAATTGTTATCAGCACTCTCAGAAGCATATTGTGCCACCTGAAATTGAAGAAGCTCAACTTGTATCAGGACGATGCCTCGGTAAGTTTTAACACATACACACAGGCGCAAGCACCCTCGTTTCTATTTCACTATTTTAATGTGTAAATATTTGGACAACACTATCCTTAATATGCTTTCAAGTTTCAACTAATTTCAACCGAAGGCAACAAGCCAAAAGAGGTCTATTTGAATGAAATATCATATAAGCACCTCTTTCTAAGCAAAAAAGGGAGGTTATAAGGGAGTGTGTGTTGCCAGCATTAACCTTAACTTACTGCTCGAATATTGACACGAAGGGATGATGCAGGCCCAGAGCGTAATAGGCTCCGGCAATCACCAAATTTAGGTTTATCCACTTCCAAAAATTTACCTACAAACGAACAACAAAAGCTAGGATTGCATCAAAATCATAGAAAACAATACAAATGCACAACCCAAAGATGACCACAGTGCTGGGGAAATAGAAAACCTAAAAGGGGCAACTATACCTAAATCTTTAATCTGCATCTCTGTCAAAATAACAGCAGGTACATAAGCTTCTAAAGGGTCAAGCTTTTTCCTGAATAAAACAAAGTAAACAAAAATTACTTCAAAACAAGTGTTCCTCCTGCATTGCTGTCAAACTACCATAACCAATGCATTACTTCTATAAATCAACCATAGTGAAAAAGAAAAATTATTACAACATCTTTTTCACACTTAGAAAAAGGGGGGACAATGTACTACAACAAGCTTCAATGGATACAGAAAACAAAAATTCTTCGGTTTCTTACTTTTTCAAGTACTTGTCCAAAATGCCACCAGCCATAGCATCTGCGGCCCAAAACATCATCAATTCCACCAATTTTCCATTTTTTTGGCAAGAAAGTGTAGTGGAAATAATCAAAATACTGTACATTAACTAACTTCCATAATCCAAAGATCAAATCTTTACGTATTTGAAAATACTTAAAAAAAAAATTCATGGGCAAGATATCAATTTCGGGGGGAAGAAGCTCACCTTTAGGGAAATAGAGACAGTTAAGGAGAACTAGAGCTACAGAGATAACCCGTCTGCTCTGCCGCCTTCCCCGAGAGGAAAATGCGCAGCCCATAATGATACTACGTTGGCTTGATCTTTGATTGAAGCTTGACGGGCTCCTGATGGTGAAGCGCCTGATGCTAATGTGCGCGTTGGCGCTTAAAGTCGCCATATTCTTCAGTTTGGGCAAGAAAGTATGGGAAGTGCAGAGCAGCAGAACAGAGCGTAGCAGATTAGCAGTTCCCTTATCCGTTTGTTCTCTCTCCTCTGGTTTTCTTTTTCTTTTTTTTTTTTTTTTCTTTTCCCCAACTTCTCTAATAAATAAAACTATGCTCATGATCAATAGTATTATAGTCACCGGTGGTTATTATAAAATCATTTTATATTTTCATAGGTTCTAATTTCCGCTTTTTCCTATTGGAAAAGAAATTTAAAAAATATTTATAATAATTGAGAGAACAAGATATATATAAAATTATATTTTTTTAATTCGATAAATGAAGCATAGGATAAGAGAAATCAAAATGTTTTATAACAACGACCGAATAGAATAATTAATACTAGAAATCTCTATTTTATGTCTAATAGAGAATGTTCTTGCGACTTTCATATTAAATTAGAAATTCTAGGGATAATATTGAAATGTGATTTGTATTCGATGTTTTCTACTTATCTTGAGCATAGTTCACATTCCATTGGTGTCTTTAGCAAATTCATTTTCAGCAACCTTTCTTGAGTAAGCACCCTGTCCTTTAGAAACTGACAGGGAACTCCAAACCAGTTTAGCTTCTCTAAACTTGCTTTGAAACTTTGTTTAGGAACTGACAGGGAACTCCAAACCAGTTTAGCTTCTCTAAACTTGCTTTGAGTTCCATTAGCCATACATATCCATCGCTTGCTGTATAAAACTGCTTGGAGTTGCCAGTCCATTCCCCCTGTTTTGTACCATCCTTCAGTTCATTCCTGACAATCATCAATTTCCTTCAATGCCAGCTTACATTTGAAGGCTTTTTCCCAAAAAAAATTAATTAAAATAAACGTGGACAAATTTAAATTTTTCAGAATATTAATGGAAAGAAATATATCCCTCGAATTTCCGAAATTCGAGTTCTAATTAAAATTAAAGATTCGGATTTCGTAAAATTCGAGCCTATATTTAATAATAAAAGAATAATTAAATAAATTTTGTTGAATAATAGTTTTTAAAAATTCTTAAATGAACAGTGCTGTTCGGATTTCCAGAATCCGAATTTAATTAAAAAATAATAAATTGAAGCGCGAAATATTTGAACTCAAATAAGGAGTCCAGGACTTGGAGTCCTTAAATAAACAGTAGTCATCGGTTTTACAAAATCCGAGTGTACAAAAAGAAAAAAGAAAAAAAAATCGAGGCGCGAAATTTTTGAATCCAAAAACTGGAAGTCCGTAATCCGGTTTTCCGTATTCGGATTTTGGAAATCCGACTGCCTTTAAATTTGGTTGGTGGAAGTAGGCATGTGCCATAAATTGGAGGATCAAAAAAATGAATAAAAAAATCCGGAATTGACCAAACTCGGATTCAGGAAATCCGAAGCCACGGTAATTCGGATTTCTAAAATCCGAGTTACTTACGGACTCGGATTTCGTAAATCTGAGTTTAACGTGCTATAAAAGAAAAAAAATTCAGACAGTTCTCATTCAAGAACTGAGTTGGATTTTCTGTTTTTGCAGCTCAAACAAGGGCGAATTGGAGCTTTTGATGCATTGTTGCCTCTAGATACGTGGGAATCGTTATTTGAAAGAGGTTAGATTGCAAAACCATGTTATTTAGTTTAGTTTTGTGTTATTTTGATTGTTAAAATGATGTATGATAGATTAGGGTTTATGTTGGTTGGTTGTTTGGATGTTTTAGGTGTTGATTTTGAGGTTAGAGATGAGAAATCATAGTTATTCATGAGATATGGAAGTTAATTTATAAGTATTTTAGTATTTTATAGGTTTTTTGAATTATGAATGGAATATGTATGGTGTATTTGTTGATTTTGTTATTAAGAAATGATTAGTTATTGAAGTTTTTTTTTAACAGTTATTAATGGCACGTAATATATCATACATGCTTAATTTGTATCATACAAGCAAGTATGTGATAGAGAATGGTAGCATCAACACTTTTTCGAATATGCCGGATGATGGTTTGTTTGTCGAGGAAAGGTTGTCATATGAGGGATTGATTAGTAAGATTTGTATGACACTTGGTTGGGATCCAGCACACGTGAAACTCTGCCTTTCTTTGATTTTTGATAGTCCCGGTGGTAGGCGTGTAGTGAATATCAAGAATGATTCGCATGTAGAGTTCATGAACCGTGTAGATCCAATGTCATGTTTGGATTTATACATAGATTTGGAAGATATCACTCAAGAAGAAAGAGAAGCGAGTTTGGAAAACGTGTCATTTGGTGGTTTTCCAAGGGGGAAACGTGCTAGTACTTCTCGAAACCGTGATGAAGAGGAGACACCTTTATTTGCACAAGATAACTACCGAGAAGAGTCGGATTCCGACTACATAGCTCCAAGTGAAAGCAAAGAAGACTGTGATGTCTCCGGAGAGAGTGATTTTGAAGAAAGTGATGATGAAAGGTTGGAAAATGAGGAAAAGATTTGTAATCCATTGCCCCCGATGATAATTATAATAAAATTCATTTTATTATAATCTTCTAGTCCTAAATTGGATATGTTTTAGTGATTATTAATGGATTTTGTTATGACTTTGTTGTTAGGTACCAAAAAGTGAAAAGATGGACCATTTTGGATTTTTACGGCCCTTTAACAAAGTTTTACGGAGTTAAAAGATGAAGAAAATTCCAGCTGCAAAGAATACACACAAATGGGTTCCTAGAAGATTCTTTTTACCAAGTCAACCATCCAAATCTTGATCTTATATTCGGTTGTAGAGAATCATGCAAAAAAATACTGATTTAGTGGAAAACTAGGATGAGATTTGATTTGGATTTTACTCCCATTTCTTTGGGATTTTTTTCAGCTATTATGCACTATAAATAGTGGTCTCCTCAATTGAGAAAAGCACCCCCCGTAGCTTGCATTTTTTGGCTGCTACTACTTTCTCCATTTTTGATACCATTTTCATTTAGCCTTTTGTTTTAATTTTTTTACACCTTTAAAGATGTCTCTAATCACCATGAGTGGCTAGTTTTCTTCATTTGGTTCAAGGATTTTTATTCTTTTATATTATATGTGAGACTACAAGTTTCATTTTATTTTTTCTACTTTTGATTCAAGTACTTATTGATTTTGATTTATTTTTATGAGAGTAGATACTTGATTAATCTGACAATTTAATCAAGTATTTTCTTCCTACTGCTACCAAATTGTTTATGTTGCGTTATCGTCTTAAACATTTGGCACTAAGTAGCACATTAGCAGATTATGCATACTGGTAGTGACACGTTGAATGTGCATGATTAGTCTAACTAGGGGATCAATAGGACAAAAATCTTTTAACTGCAGTTATCTCAATTATTTTAGTTTTTTTTTGGTTCAACTACATTTTCAAAGATTTTATTGCTATCATAATTTAATATGGAACATTATCGTGCCCAGTTAAATTATGATAAGTTTTGATTAGGTGTTGGGCTTGGTCAAATATTTTTTTAGAAAATATAAGGTTTTTTTTACGGTTATCCTATTAAACCTACGGTTGAATGCTTGAATTGTAGAAAAATTATTTTTAGTCGATGATCTGTAATACATTTGAAAAATATTCCTTGAACCAAGGTTTCCATTCTATTAATTTTTCTTAAGTTTATTTACTTTAAATTTTGTCAATTTTATTTTGAAGAAAGAAAAAAAATCCCCCCCATTTTGTTACTTTTACAAAGCCAAGTATCAACAGTCGGTTCTCTTGGGATTCGACCTGATTTCACTGTTTCTACAATTTAATTTTAGTTTGTTTGGAATTCAGATTAATTTTTGGGTGTCTCGACAAACCCGTCATCCGACGCCATGTATATAGTAAGATGGGGAAATGAGATGCCTCATGTGTGGACAAGGATGAGTTTGCTCTTAAGATGTGGGATGAGACGCTCGAAGGAATGGACATTGGTGTTTGTTTCAAATCTCAATCATAAGCAAAGCATTCTGTGAAATTCTGGAACATCCATCATAAAAGGGAATATACGGTCATCGCGAGTAGTCCAACGACGTAGACTGTGTGGTGCAGAACATTAAATGTGGAAAGTGAGGATGGTAAACCACCATGTGAGTGGAAGATGCGTGTGTCTTTGAAAGCTCACGGCCTTCATGAAATTATGAGATGGCATGATGCACATAATTGCATGACTCCCGTGAATGATAATGACGATCGGTGTGTGAACGCGTATTTGATTGCTAGACTCATCAGGAGAAAGGTTGAGGACAACGTAGATTATACGGTAGCCTCGGCACAGAAAGATGTGAAGACCTTATTGAAAGTAGATGTGCCATACAAAAGGGCGTGGCACGGGAGGAGGAAAGCCACAGAAGCAGTCTATGCTGATCGGACCTCGAATTTCGAAGAACTTCCACGGTAAATATGAAGGTTTATTCGTGTATTGAAATATTTTTTGTGTTTTTTTTTACATGTATTGAAATATTTTAACTATGACTTGTTTGTTGTGTAGGTATATCGCTGCACTTAAGTTTACTAATCCTGAGACTGTAGTAGAGTGGGAATGGAAGGAGAGACTAGAAGGTTGGAACAGGGGAAATTGGACATTTAAATACGTCTTCTGGTCATTTGCACCAGTGGCTGTGACGTTTTTTGAATCTCCACCGGTCATTTGTATCGATGGAACCTTCTTGCGTGCTGGATACAAGGGTAAATTGCTTGTTGCGATGGTCTATACCGCAAACAAGCACATTTTACCGGTTGCATTTGCGATTGTGGATGAGGAGACAGTAGAGAATTGGACATTTTTTATGAGGAATTTGAGGTTGTGGGTTGTGTATGATAGACTCGTAAGTGTGATATTCGACCGAATGCAGGGTTATTGAGCGCAATGTCACAGATGGATGAATGGCGTGATTTAGGTGATGGTGGCCACTTTCTTTGCTTCTGCCACGTTCGCAGCAATCTTGTGTCGCGATATAATAGCAAAAAGGTGAAGCGGTTATGTTGGAAGATGGGCACGATGTTTCCAAGAGTGAAATACAACCGTATGAGGGCAGAGCTTATTGAATTCAAACCTGCTGTATGAGAGTATTTTCGAGGGATTGGAGGGAGTAACTGGGCTCGATTGAAAGCCGGTCTTCGCCGTTGGGCCA